TGAAGTGCTGTCGAACCCCAGCTCAGCAGCCTCTTGCTCATCTTTCTCTCTTAAAATCTCTGTGTAAGAGACCAGGGGGTCATGAGGAGTTTGAGCTGTAAAGCCTTCCTCTTTTCCTTCATCTGAATTTGTTGGGTGTGTGCTCAATGAGAGGCATTTTTCTTTACTGCCTCTATCAAAAAATAAGTTGTGTAGCTATAAAAATTGGGAAGATTAAAGCAAATAAAGATCTTTTGTACATTGCTGTGTATGTTTTCCACTGGTCTTTACTTGAAGTTAAGAAGCGAAGAGTTTTAGAACGCCTTGATTTGTAGGGTCATTTGAAGGATTAGCCAAAAATTATGAAAAAAACCTCCATCTTTCAACACTTGTCCATCAGGATGACCTGTCTCTTATAGTCTGTTAGCAAAAGACTTGGTACATCCTGGACAAGTCGTCAGTCCATCGCAGGGCAGCACAGAAATGCATAACCATGCAAACACATTTGCATCTTTGGAGTCGCCAAACAACATAATAGTTTTTGGGGGTTTTTCGCCTGTGGGAAAAAAAACAGAGTATCTGGATACTCAGGAAGAACTAACTCTTGTGCTTTTATATTTAGGCCTTCACTCCAGTGAACCCAAATAACACAACACTGTAAAAACAGGTGCTTTGATCAGATGAATCAAAATGAAACTTTGGAAATTACATTTAAATGACAATATGGAAGTAAACCAACATTTTGCATCATCCTGAACGTCCCCTTCGCTGGGGAAACATGGTGGTTGCATCATGCTGTGGTGAAGCTACTCAACTCAAGCCTTTGTTAGGTTGCAAAACTTAAAACTTGGATGCAGGTTAATATTCCAGCTCGGACTGCACAACATATTTATATTTCATCCTTGAGTTACTGCTGTTCAGCACATCAGTATTGCTACAGGGAGCTTGGACCACTGTATTTTAAGCATTTATTCCAGCAATTATTTTTGTGATTCTTGTTGTTCATCGAGAAAGGAATGTTTTTAGGCTCCAGATGGGCAACTTTTTCACTAAAACAATTTGCTTAAATGGAAATTATTAAATTATTGCTTAATTTTTCAGCAATATGACATTAATGCATGGATCTCTCAGTGTAACAAGTCAAAATTTGTCAAAATAAAAATATAGGTTGATCCTCTTAATTTTAATAAGCATAACTGCAGAAATTCTGATTTTTTTTTATTCATTTATTTATTTTTTTAAGGTCCTGATTTACCTATATAGTGAGAAAACTGTTAGAGGACTTGGAGTCAAAGCTATGAAAGCGTGGACCACCCCTGCACCCCTCAGACTCCCAAACCAATCCCTCCACGTCAGGTGGATCAGAGCCTCACTTACTGGGTTAATCTGATAGTTTGCATATTAAGGGAAATGGAAACGGCTCCTCCCAATGTGGGGAATAAGAACAAAAGAAAAAGTATTAGCAAAGAGACAAAAAGAAGAAATGGGCTGAGCAGAAAAGATGAATGACTGAATTGTTCCTCTTTAGTAGCGTGACCCCCGGCATGTTATTTCATNTATATATATGTATTCATCTTTAAATAAAGCAATATACACAGATTCTTTGTTATGATAGTGTTTATTTCACAGTTTTTCAGCCTGAAAAGAATTTTTGCCCCAGGTACCACTATTAACGATTTACATGCATGTATCGCACCTCCAGTCACAGGGTCCTCTTATGGTAAACTTCTACAAAAGTGCTTTTGTCATAGCAAAAGAACAAAAAGCAAACAAAAAATGAAAAAGAAAAAAAAGAAGAGGACACTTTTGTGTCTAAAGAAGACGTTTGTCCTAAATCAAAGTGAGCCGATGCTGTAGAAATGACCATGTATTGTTTTTTTTATTTAGTCAGTCATACGGTCAACCTAATATTCTCCTAATGTTTCACCAACATTGTGCAGAAGTACTTCCATAAGAGCAGCATTTCAAACCGTACAGTCAGAGCTACTCTGCAGTTATTTAGGTTGAATCTCTTAGACTGGCCTAGTTAAAGCCCAGGCAAAGCTTCTCCACATTCTATCTCATTGAGTTTGAGCTATTTTGCAAAAAGCAGACAAGAAATATCTGTGCTATGCCTGTGACAGAAGATTGCAGCAAGACCAAATGTAAATATTTTTTGCTAGAAACTGCAACAATGAAGTAGTTGTCTGATTTTATAAACGTTGTAAAATTCAATGAGAGTAGTAATCCAGTCTAATCCAGCTACTGCTGCCAGACGCACAGAGGCCAAAGCACACCTCCTTTCTCCTGGAAGAGCTGACGCCCCCATCCCTCTTTAGTCATAAATCTGTTGTTCTGATTCATTTCCCTTCCTGCTCTAAAGGAGCCCAGCTGTTGTCTTTGTCCCATCCTTAACTGTCAAAATATCTTTGTTGCTCCACTGTGTTTAAAAAAAAAAAGGAAAAAAAAAATCACAAGTCCTAGAAAGTCGAGCTGTTTAACTTGCAGTCATTTTTGCACAAACTTTTCACTTTTACACAACTCTCCCTCCCTCTGCTATCCCTCTCCCTCAGCTTGGGAGGCAAGAGCCAGTTTGACAGCTTTAGTGACGGCAAGCAGAGGCACATTTTCTGTGCAAACTGTTGTGCTTGAGCTGCTGTGGAGCAGCTATTAGACATTCCCCTGCAGTGACACAAACTGCTGGTTGAGACCATAGCAGTAGGAAGGTTTACACTCATCTTTTGCTCTGCAGTTGTAGCCTAATTGAAACTTAGATAAATCTATCTGGTTGTGCAAAAGGAGAGCTATTTTCCGCTGCCCCTATCACTGTGCATTAATAAGTAATCTACACAGAAGATATAAATCTTTCCAACGCTAATGGAATCTTTTTATAACGCCTAATTTAAGAGATGCTTATCACAGGTTCTGTTTCCTCAGTTTAGCCTCTCTTAAAATGCATGTAAATATTACACAGAATGCTTTCCTCACATCTTTAATACAACCTAATGGGCCTTTTTTTTTTTTTTTTTACTATCTGTTGTTCACATGCATTGAATATTCATGGGTAATCTCACTCTCATGCTTCTTCATACACTCAAATCAATGTTGTTTTCCATTTTAAACTCGGCGGGGGTTTCTGTTTGATTCAGTTAATGACTGAACATTTCAGCATGATGGGGGAAAAAAACTCGATACATATCTATTATTTGCCTTTTAATGCGGAAGACTATTTTAGTCGAAGGGTTGGTTGCATCTAATGTCTCAATAGCTAATCACAATCTTGCTTGGGATTAAGTATTGGGGTTTGATTTATTACTCGGAAAGAACACTAACTTTAAATCTTATCTTTAAAGGTTAAAGATTAACAAAATAGGGCTTTGTTGTACCAAGTGTTCTTCATTCATTAATTTCTTTCAAGCGGTGAACCTTTCCTTTTTTGTTGTAATGCTTGTTTGCAGACTCCCAGCCTGAGCTAAATATAAACTGGATTGGTTAGATTCTTTCATAGAATGAGGTTGCCTTTATCACTGAGGTTTTTCTCAAAGCCTACAGGTCTACGTCAAACATACCTCATCCCTACATGCATAGAGTCGGCCTTTAGGAACTGTGGTCCGAAGGTGGTCTGGTTGACCCACGTCAATGACCTTACTCAAAGCCCGGTGAAATAGAGCATATAATCGCCCACTGCCTGTCTAGAATAAATAAATAAACAACCCCGAAAGGCAAGGTTTGTTTGTGTGTTTGTGCACAAGCAAGGGCACATAAATTGATTTTCATGTGTCTGTCCTGCTCTTTGCCAAAATAACCCTGAAATGCTGGGATGCCAACAGAGCTCTAGTTTCTGTCATCCAAGCTTCATGCTCTCAGCTAATGCTGGTACCTGGCGCCTTGACTACGTGACATATATGCTGCCACAATTACCACTTGAGGAATTAAAGATTTAATGTCAGTTCATGCTTAAAATATCACCATTAACGTTTATCCTGGTTATGTAATGGACGGGAAACCATTCCTAGATTTATCCGAACTAATACCCTATGTGAGCAGGGATAAGCACTTAAGCTATTTTACTCAGGGATGAATGTGGATCATTTTTTAATGACTTCTTACTCCAAACAGCAGGGCTAAGCCCCACAAAAACAGCTCAAAGTGCAAAAGTATTCATACCCCTCTAATCTATTCACGTTTAGTTAGCTTTTATTATGCAATGGTTTTAGGTGAAACAGCGCCATGCAGAGATATGAAGTAGAATTAAGTTTCCACGAAAAGTACGTATTGATACCCTGAATAAAATCTAATCCAGTCCCCTGCCTTAATAATTAGGCCTAACAGTAAACAGAGTCCACCTGTGTGCAGGTTCTCTTACAGAAATAATGTATTTGGTGTTCCTGCAGAGGAAAGGCATCCCCACAGCATGATGCTGCCACCACCCTGCGTTAAATTGCAAACTGTTGGACCAATGCTGGCTGCACTGGGTTTAAATTTTTGTAAAAGTGAAGTTTTAATTTAGATTTTATGTATACACACGCATATTTTTATCCGTGTTGGCAGTGCTTTTATTTTATTTACTTTTACTTATTTTAGTTATTTTATTTTTTGTGCAGCACTTTGGAAACCTTGTGTTTATTGAAATCGTGCTTTATAAATAAAGTCGATTGAACTCGATTTGATTTCTCAAAATGATTTAAAAACGATTCATTGTTTTCTTTCAGTTTTTTCATGCACTACTTTGTGATGATTTAGCTTTATGATTTGATGTTTTTGGTTCGGGTGTGAAAGAATGTAGGAAACTTTCTGCCATGCTTGATAAAGCCAAAGTGCTCTTTAACCCAATGTTTAGTTTTTCCATTCAGGCCTACCGTTCAAATATGCAGGTCAAAGTGGTAAATCTTTTAGAAGAGACACCAATATTAGCTCAGTCTAATAAACTTTAACAGCTTTTTTTTTTTCTCCTGTAACCCTGGTTCTCTGACTGTTAGGTTCTGATATTTGTGGTTGATTTGTGACTCACTCACGTCCTTCCTTCTTCTTCTTCTTCCTAGGAGGACTCCATGAAAGATGACGGAGGAGGGGATTGTTGTAGCCAAGTGGGACTACACGGCCCAGCAGGACCAGGAACTTGACATCCGTAAAAATGAGCGCCTCTTCCTCTTGGACGACTCAAAGACGTGGTGGCGCGTCCGCAACGCCGCCAACCAAACGGGCTACGTGCCATCGAACTACGTAGAGCGCAAGAACAGCCTGAAGAAAGGCTCGCTGGTGAAGAACATCAAAGACACTCTGGGTAATAATGTTAGCTCTTATACGTTGATATGCTTTTTATTCAAAACGATAAATCTGTATCCCACAGTGATTACCAAGAGAGAGTGGGTTTCTGTTCACTGAGAGTTTGTTTTTAGTCTGGATTTCCATAGAGACTAAAACGTTTTTTTATCTGTGTTTCTTGGCTGGAAGCTGTCGCCAAGCTCTCCAGGGAGCCTGTTGACTCGGCCATTGCTCTCAGCTGTCAGCACTCTGTCGCTCAGTGTCCCCAGCCATGACTTGGATATATTATCCTGTCTGTGTGGGTACAGCTTTCTGCTTAGAGGAGGGAAAGTAGTGTGTATAGTGCAGGTAAAAGGAAGTCTCTCCTTTTCTTTCATTAAGTGAGAGAAACAGACTTCTAATGACGTATAACAGTATAACTTCTGCCTTTTGAAGCACATTTTCCTGCGTCACAATTAAGGCAAGTGGATGATGCCAATTATTGGTCTGTATCGAGAGATTTTTAAGCATTTAAATCCACGTCTGGAACCTTTAAATCTAATGGTCCATTAGCTCCAAATGCAAGCAAGGAGAGTAAAGTGAGTGATTTCCATGCTTTCTCTATGTAAAGGTGTTAACAGGTGCTTAACAGAGGAGGTTTTAGCCAGTATTCAGATCTGAAGAACAATATAGTTAGCTAGGAGAGAGAAGGGGTTAAAATCTGAAGCGCAGGGCCAAATGTGTCACCTTGAGAGCAGAACATGAGGTTATTGGCAGCAGCAACCCAGGTAATGCACAGGAAAGAATGAAATATAATGCGGTCAGTTTTTTTTAATCTTTTGTTAAGTTTATTTTCCGTCAGACAATTTACCAAATAAGATTTTTTTACTCTAAGTGCATAATATCTAAAATACTAATTTCATTAGCAGACCTTATATAGCTGCTCAAATTAAGGGCAAAGACGCTTATTTTAAGAATGTTTAACTTGTTTTTAGATCAGATTTTGCTGTTTGCCATCCTGCAGGATACTGCCACAGCTAAACAGACAACCAAGGTCAGATGTCGCTCCTATGGAGCCAAACATTCCTTTATTGATTTTTCTATCCCTTTGTTATCATTTCATCCATTTAGAAGTTCATTAATCAAACCACAGAAATATCTGCAGGGAAACCATGATGAGCTTTTAGGTTCATACTTTGATAAGAGAGTAAAATGATTTATTTTGGTAAATTGTGGGCCGATTTATTTCCACTATTTCATAATATGGAAACGGTACCATGTAGTGACATTGGTAATCTTTAACACCCACTGTCACTGATGTGATCTCCAACAAGCATCCTTGGTTGATCAAGTAGCTTCTGTTCTTTCTGATGCTCAAATCAAGGTAGGGAAATGTAAAATGGTTCAACTGCTCTGTGACTCTATGAATGGTTAGCAGTGCTGCCTCTGAGCTTTTCGTGGTTAGATTTACTCCCACCTGAGTGGCTGGAAACGGAAAGGAGAGGAATCAGGCAGGAAATGGAAACGCCTGGTGGAAATTCCACCAAAACACTGATCACACAGTTTGAGTGGTTTCTAATGGCGGGGGGGCTCAGTCACTAAGGCTCCATCAGCTCCTTTCTCTGTCACTGTGGACTTCTGCTTTTACCTTATCAGTAGTTACACTGCAGGACCAATCAGACACCTAATGGCTGTATGGGAATGATGGATTACCTCCCTGTTCTCTGACTGAGTTACATATCGACTGGAACATTTATGGCCTCGTCGTCCCATTCCAGCCCTGGCAGCATCCTTCCTGCCAGGCGCTCTTTCCTGTTAAAAGCCTGTGAAAATCCAATAGGAGAGAACACTTTCATGATGAGGTGATGAGCAATAGGTGAGGGTCAGGTGCTAATGGAAGTAACTCACTTCAAGAGATAATTTGATTGGCTGATAGCTTGATTTCGTCATCTGGTGGAGGTTTTTTTTCCTCCTTGTTTTAATCCCCCTCAGTGAGTTCACTCCATCATTATTTGAGCATTTCTGATTACTGTTATCTCCAGCTTTTCCTCTCCATCTCTGCTGCATTCTGCAGTCGTATCGTCAGCATCCATCTGAGCAGAGTCTTAACTATAAATGGCTGCCTGCTGCTCCATGCCCCACTTTCATCTCCTTGGGAAAGAAAAAAAAAATGGCAGTGGGTAAAGAAAATAAGCATAGCCCTTAATATTGGTGAAACTGGGTCAGGACTCACCTGTAAAACTAATGGGATCATTACATTTCTGTCCATTTGAGTTTTTAAAGAACACTGCAAGGTTGGCCCAATTTGTTTCAGGCGATATGAGGCACTATGTCCTGATTTCAGGTAAAAATGATAAGAAGTTGCTCTAACCCAGTTGCATTAGAGTAAAAGCCTTACAGTCGTACTTTAACCATCCAGGTTTTGATTAAATTTCAGGACTCAATCATATTTGGTCATTTTTATCCTTATTACACATTTTGACTTGCTGACATCTGGAGCATCTTTCTGGTAAATATTCTCCAGAGAATATATTCTGTCCACGACGTCTCCTCAGGTGAACCCAAAGATTTCTCCTGTCAGATGTTATTCCCACTGCGGTTTCGCCACTCTGAAATTTTAACGTCCCTCTCATTAAGTCAAATCTGGATGTTTGCTTGAACTGAATTGTAAATTCATCCCAACGCTGCGTGTCCGGAGCCCATAACATCATCAGCGACCCCTCACACCCCCACCATGGGCTCTTCCCTCTGCTGCAGGACCAGCAGATTCTGTAACAGCTTTTTTCCCGCAACCATCAGACAGCTGACCTGTTGAAAACTCTAAATCAAGTCACAAATCGAGACTCTGCATCACACTGATAACACCATACTTGCACTACATGGTGAATATTCAGAATAGAACTCAACTCAATGTTTTTACTGCATTTTGCACCATATCTATTTATTTATTTTTTAACTGCTCTGAACCTTCCACATCAATGCCTTTTTGCACCATGTCTGTCCCACACCGTTTACATTTTGATCACTGCTGCACATTATTGTTCCTGTTATTTTTCACTGCTATGCTGCTGCACAAAAAAAAATAAAAAATTGTATACACTCATACGCACAATAAAGTTTGTCTAAGTCATTAAAAAAGACAAAAAAAACTTCTTTCTGGTAGACAGACGTTTACTTTGACAAAAACCTCACGTTTATCAGAAAAAGTGACCCCCTCAACATAACGGTGCCATCACCATGCTTTACTGTAGCCATTGTGTATTTACAGTTATAGTTTGGTCTCATCGGAGTGTAACACATTCTTTGAAATAAAACATTTCTGTCTAGCCTTCTCCTTAGTCCAGGCATTCATTGGCCTTACAAGATGTTCATATCCAAAACACAAGCCAGTTCTTATTTGAAAGTCCTGCTGCTCTTTTGGTCTTTTTACCAGCATCACAGACCAATTTAAGCAGCTATATTTCAGCAGCTGCTTAAATGTCGGATTTTTATCCTTGTTAGAAGCATCCCTTTCCTATTGAGGTAGAGTGAAAGATGGAGCTTCATGGAGTCGTACATTCTTCTTTGC